CATGTAGAATGATAACCTTTATAACAGGTAAAATCCAATACAGAGAAAAATTCATTCTTGGAATGCAATTTCAAATTCATAAAGTGAAATTTAGCATCTTAGAAAGAGGGTATATGAGTTTAATAGTGTAGTATTATTATTCCCAAGGGAAATTTCCAATATTCTGTGATTCAGTATAGACTCAGGATAAACATATCCTACTGACACTACCTGAGGCATTCTAACAACCACATTTGATTTATTAGCAGATAAGTATTATTAATCAAAGGTTATGTAATACTGGTCACAGGTGCCTTGTTTTTGTTATGAAAATACATTTCAATAATAGAACTCTCCATGTAAAGAAGGACATGTTATAATCCAGTTCTTTGTAAAGAATATTTTCATGAAATATATTGGACTTTTTTCCCTTTCAAATTAACAGGTTCTTTTGAGTGAATTGGATGAGATGGTTTACCACGAGAATTGCCTTTTAAATTCCAAAACAAAAGCATTAAAAAAAGTTGACTTTAACAGAAATGGATATTGCATTATTTCTTCCGCAAGTGCCAGTACTTTTTATTCTGTAATGATTTGTGTTCTCTGATATGCTTCATCTCATGCTTGACTGATTACAAGTGTGAAGGAGGGTTAAATGTATTCACTATTGGCAATTTAGCATTAATTGTAATACGCTGTAATCCAAATTACAATCTGTCATTTCCAGTCAAATTGTGAAGCACTGTAATTGTATTTTAGAGTTCCACTGCCATTGATTAGAGCTACCTCATTTGTGTTTTAATATACCATGACGAATTTGCAAATGGAAATACAATCCTGTAACAAGCCAGGAAACAAGTATTGTTCTTCCTATTATAACAGCAAGAAAATTATTTCTTTTTTTTATTTTTTATTTTTTTTTTAAAGGTTTTATTTATTTATTTGACAGAGAGAGACAGCGAGAGAGGGAACACAAGCAAGGGGAGTGGGAGAGGGAGAAGCAGGCTCCCCGCAGAGCAGGGAGCCCGATGTGGGACTTGATCCCAGGACCCTGGGATCATGACCTGAGCCGAAGGCAGTCGCTTAACCAACTGAGCCACCCAGGCGCCCTAGAAAATTATTTCTTAACAAATGAAAAGAGAAGGAGATGGTAAGACAGTAAAGAGAATTCATTTAAGGATGAAAAAGACACAAAAGACTTCAATTTTCTAGCAGTGCATAAAAATAAGTGAGCCATAGATTTTTTGAAAAACACTTTTAATCTAAACATTACAAAAATATTTTAAAAATTTTTGAAATCTTCCCATACTAATACAAATTACTCTAGTTTATTGATTTGAATTGGCGTATAGTATTCCACAGCATATACAACATTCTTTCCTTGGTGATCATTCACATTGTTTTTACTATTTACAAATAATGCTGCAGTGAACATTCTTATATATGACTCTTCATAACATGGGGAAGATTCACTAGGGAATATATTTAGTAGTGTGATCTCTGGGTTGCAGAGTATGCCTATCTTCTATTTCACTTAAAAAAATTTGTGGTAAGGGGTGCCTGGGTGGTTCAGTTGATTAAGCATCCAACTCTTGATTTTAGCAAAGGTCATAACCTCAGGGTCATGCGATCAAGCCCCTTGTTGGACTAGCGGGGAGTCTGCTTGAGATTCTCTCTCCCTCTGCCTCTTCCCCCAGTCACACTCTCTTTAACATACATACATACATAAAATCTTTTTAAAATTCTGGTAAGAACACAACATGAGATCTACTCTTGGCAATTTTTTAAAAAAGGTTTATTTATTTGAGAGGGAGAGAGAATCTTTTTTTCCCCTCTCTCTTTAAAAAAATTTTTTTATTTTATTTAAATTCAATTTACTCCAGCTGGAGTGGTGGGGGGTGGGAGGGATGGAGTGGTTGGGTGATAGACATTGGGGAGGGTATGTGCTATGGTGAGCGCTGTGAATTGTGTAAGACTGCTGAATCAGAGACCTGTACCTCTGAAACAAATAATACATTATATGTTAAAAAAAAAAAAAAGAAGAAGAAGATAGCAGGAAGGGAAGAATGAAGGGGGGGAAATCGGAGGGGGAGACGAACCATGAGAGACTATGGACTCTGAGAAACAGTGAGGGTTCTAGAGGGGAGAGGGGTGGGGGGATGGGTTAACCTGGTGATGGGTATTAAAGAGGGCATGTACTGCATGGAGCACTGGGTGTTATATGCAAAGAATGAATCATGGAATGCTACATCAAAAACTAATGATGTAACGTATGGTGATTAAGAACATAATAAAAAAAATAAAATAAATTCAATTTACTTAACATGTAGTGTATTATCAGTTTCAGGGGTAGAATTTAGTGATTCATGAGTTGCATACAACACCCAGTAGAGGGAGAGAGAATCTTAAGCACACACTGCACTGAGCGCAGAGCCTGACTTGGGGCTTGATCTCACAAACCTGAGATCACTACCTGAGCCGAAACCAAGAGTCAGACGCTTACTGACTGTCCCACCCAGGTGCTCCTTGACAAATTTTTAAGTACACATTATTGTTGACTAGAAATACAATATTGTACAACCAGATCTCTAGATCTTATTCATCTTGTTTAGCTGAATATGTACGTTGATTAGCAACTCCCCATTTACCCTTCTCCCATTCCCTGATAACCACTGTTTCACTCTTTGATTCTATGAGTTTGACTATTTTAGATACCTCATATAAGTAGAATCATGTAGAATTTTTCTGTGACTAGCTTATTTCACTTAGCTTCACTTCACTTATTTCTCTATTCTTAAAGGTTCACCCATGTTGTCACATATTTCAGATTTCCTTCTTTTTTAAGGCTGAATAGTATTCTTATATGTATATGCCACACATTCTTTATCCATTTATCTATCAATGTACATTTAGCTTGTTTCCACATCTTGGTTATTGTGACTAATGCTGCAATGAACATAAGAGTGCTAATACCTACATAAGTTTCTGATTGAATTTCTTTGGATAAATTCCCAGAGTAGGATTGTTAGATCATATGATAGTTCTATTTTTAATATTTTGAGGGATCTCCATATAGTTTCCCATGCATTGTTTTGCATTCCCACCAACACTGTGCAAGAGTTCCAGTTTCTCCACAACCTCGCCAACCTTTGTTGTGTTTTGTCTTTTTGATGATAGCCATCTGGACAGGTATGAGGTGATAACTCATTGTAGTTTTGATTTGCATTTCCCTAATGATTAGTAACAATGAGCATTTTTTCATATGCCTGTTGGCCTTTTGTATGTTTTCTTTGGAAAAATGTCTATTCAAGTTCTTATCCCATTTTTTTTTTTTTGGCTTTTTAAGTTTTTACTTTTATTCCAATTAATTAACATATAGTCTTATATTAGTTTCAGTTGTACAATATAGTGATTCAACAATTCTATACATCACTCATCATGACAAGTGCACTTCTTAGTCCCTATCACTTATTTAACCCATTCCCCCACCCACTTCCCCTCTGGTAACCATCATTTTGTTCTCTATGATAGGGTCTATTTCTTGATTTCTCACTTTCTCTCTTTTCCTTCTACTCTTGATTTGTTTCTTAAATTACATATATGAGTGAAATCATATGGTATTTGTCTTTCTCTGACTGACTTATTTCACTGAGCATTATCCTCTCTAGCTCCATCCATGTTGTTGCAAATGGCAAGATTTCATTCTTTTTTATGGTTGACTAAAAGGATTCCTTTTTCTCCACATCTACCCAAACACTTGTTTCTTGTGTTGTTGATTTTAGCCATTCTAATAGGTGTGAGGTGATATCTCATTGTAATTTTGATTTGCATTTCCCTGATGGTCTAAGTGATGATGAGCATTTTTTATGTGTCTGTTGGCCATCTCTATGTCTTCTTTGGAGAAATGTCTGTTCATGTCTTCTGTCCATTTTTTAATTGATTTATTATTTTTTTTGGTGTTGCGTAAGTTCTTTATATATTTTGAATACTAACCCTTTATCACATATGTCATTTGAAAATATCTTCTCCCATTCCATAGGTTGCCTTTTAGTTTTGTTGATTGTTTCCTTTGCTGTGCAGAAGCTTTTTATTTTGATGTAGTCTCAATAGTTTAATTTTGCTTTTGTTTTCCTTGCCTCAAGAAACATATCTAGAAAAAAGCTGCTATGGCTGGTATCAAAGAGGTTACTGCCTATGTTCTCTTCTAAGATTTTTATGGTTTTAGGTTTCATATTTAGATCTTTAATCCATTTTGAATTGATTTTTGTATATGTGTAAGAAAGTGGTCCAGTTTCATTCTTTTGCTGTCCCGTTTTCCCAACATCATATGTTGAAGAGACTGTCTTTTTCCCATTGGATATCCTTTCCTGCCTTGTCTAAGATTAATTGGCCATAGAGTTGTGGTCAAGTTCTTAGACCATTTTTAATTAATAGATTTCCTTCTTTATCATGGCTGAACAATTTTATATTGTGTGAGTGTTACATATATAAATATATATATATGCTACATTTTATTTATCCATTAATCTGTAGATGGACGGTGGTTACCAGGGACTGGATGTTGGGGGAAATGGGGAGATGTTGGTTAAAGGGTACAAACTTCCAATTATGACTTATAATGAATAAGTTCTGTGAATCTAATGTATAACATGGTAGTTATAGTTAATAATACAATGTTATATACTTAAAAAGGTTGCTAAGAGGGTAGATCTTGAATGTTCTCACTACAAATAGAAATGGTAATTCTGTGAGGTGATGGAAGTGTTATCTAATGCTACTGTGGAATCATTTTGCAATATATATTGTATCAAATCAGTATGTTGTACATCTTAAACTTACACAATGTTATATGTCAATTATATGTCACTAATGCAAGAAGGAAGTAAAAATAAAAATAAATAAAACCCCCAAGAATATAAAACATTTAAAAACACATGTAACATAGCTTATGGGTCAAAGAAGAAATCATATTGAAAACTAAAAATACTTAGAATTGAATGATAAGTGAAAATGCTACATACCAAAACCTGTGGGATGCGGAGAAGTGGTCCTTTTGGCATTTTATAGATTTAAAGTTTGTATTAGAGAAGGAAGGCTGAAAAACAAGATAAAGATTTCACTTAAATTAGAAAAGGAACAACAGAATAAAACCCAAAGAAAACAGAAGGCAGAAGGAAGGAAATAATAAGAGCAGAATTCAATGAAAGAGAAAGCTAAGATACAATAAAGAGAAAAAAATAAGTTCAGAAATTGGTTCTATGAAAATCTTAAAATAGAAAACATTTGGAAAAAATTTCAAGGAAAGAGGAAAGCACACCTAAGCAATATCATGAATGAGAAAGAAAACATAACTATAGTTACATTAGAAATGTAAAAGATAACAAGAAAAATATTATCAATAATTTTATGCCCATAAAGTTGAAATGCACTAAAAATTGAGAATATGTGTGACAATATGACTTAGGTAAGACTGTAGACCACCTAGGTCAACTTGACTTAGATGGTTGTTCAAGGAAATTTTGCCTGGAATGGATGTTACTATAAACAGTAATTAATTTCAGTTCTTTAGAAAATTCCCACAGATCAATTTATCTGAGACAGTAGACTATTCACTTCCACAATTAGCTTGCAGGTATCCACGATTTACACTTGCAACAAGTGACAACAAAAGTCACTTCAAGATCCTCTTTGTCACCAAATTTTAAATAATTATAACACATATTTGCCTGATCCCAGTCATCTCCTTGCCTTGAAAGGCCCATCTTAAACCACTTGAACTCAGAATCCAAAACTCAATCAGTATTCCATTTCTGACTTCCCCTTTCTTTTTTTTTTTTTAATTTTTTTTTTTTTAAGATTTTATTTATTTGTGAGAGAGAGAATGAGACAGAGAACATGAGAGGGAGGAGGGTCAGAGGGAGAAGCAGACTCCCTGCTGAGCAGGGAGCCCGATGTGGGACTCAATCCCGGGACTCCGGGATCATGACCTGAGCCGAAGGCAGTCGCTTAACCAACTGAGCCACCCAGGCGCCCCTGACTTCCCCTTTCCGATACGTTGCTAAGATTCAGCCAGGTAGTGTTCTCTCTTACTGAAATAACATCTTTTTTGTTGTTATTTATTTATTTATTTTTTATTAACATATAATGTATTGTTTGTTTCAGGGGTACAGGTCTGTGATTCATCAGTCTTACACAATTTACAGCACTCACCATAGCACATACCCTCCCCAGTGTCCATCACCCAGCCACCCCATCCCTCCCACCCCCCTCCACTCCAGCAACCCTCAGTTTGTTTCCTGATATGAAGAGTCTCTTATGGTTTGTCCTCCTCTCTGGTTTCATCTTGTTTCATTTTTCCCTCCCTTCCCCTATGCTTGTCTCTTGTTTCTCAAATTCCTCATATCAGTGAGATCATATGATACTTGTCTTTCTCTGATTGACTTATTTCACTTAGCATAATACCTTCTAGTTCCATCCACATTGTTGCAAATGGCAAGATTTTGTTTTTTGATGGCTGCATAATATTCCACTGTATATATATACCACATCTTCTTTATCCATTCATCCGCTCTTACTGAAATAACTTCTAGTTGATAGCTTTGCTTTAGTAACAGGTTTGTGATGTTCTGGGGAGTTCAGAAGGATTAATTCCTTCTTTTTATTTAATTTTTAATTTTTTTTAAAGATTTTATTTATTTGACAGAGAGAGACACAGCGAGAGAGGGAACACAAGCAGGGGGTGGGGGGAGTGGGAGAGGGAGAAGCAGGCTCCCAAGGAACAGGGAGCCCGATGCGGGGCTCGATCCCAGGACCCTGGGATCATGACCTGAGCCGAAGGCAGATGTTTAACCAAATGAGCCACCCAAGCATTCTGAATATCTACATTTTAAAGGAAGAGAAAAAAGTCAACTTAGAAGTTCTTACTGATATCCCACCCTTCAAGTAAAATATTTATCTTCATTTGTATAGAATAAATGGAGTAAAGTGTGTGGCTTGAATTTCTAGTTTGGACTTCCTGCCGGTTTGTGTGGTGTCTGGTGGCTCTCCCGTTAAGTTGCCAAGCTTCTGACCCATAGGAACACAAGTTCAGGAACTTGTATGCCGTAACATTTAAAGATTAAACCACTGACTGGTTGAGGAAACAAATTTCAGATTAAACCACTTGCCCTGTCGTATTGTGGGTAAGGATTCACCCAAGACTGTCTCCAGATACCATATTCTTTACCACCCTCCACTGCCAAAAGGGAATCCAATTTCAGTAAAAACCTTTCTAGCAAGAGGGAAGAAAAGCAATATAAAATTTCAGACAATACAAATTGCCCAATGTAGAGAATGGAATTCTTCATACAGTCCTAGGATGTTGGCATTTAGTGTAGAATCTATACTGTAGATCCTTAGGGCTTTTTGTTTTTTCTCTTGTATTCTTTATGCCCTTACAAATAAGGAAATCAAATAGTTCACTTAAAACATTCACTCCAGGGACGCCTGGGTGGCTCAGTCGTTAAACTTCTGCCTTCGGCTCAAGTCATGACCCCGGGGTCCTGGGATCGAGCCCCGTATTGGGCTCCCTGCTCAGCGGGAAGCCTGCTTCTCCCTCTCCCACTCCCCCCTGCTTGTGTTCCCTCTCTCGCCGTCTCTCTCTCTGTCAAATTAAAAATTAAAAAAATTCACTCCAAAACATTCTTAAATTTTAATGACAGGGTTAGAAGGTACAATTCTTGAATCTATTGGCTGACTGAATTAGGTCCCATGTATACCATATGTCTTAATGTTTAATACTGACTCAAGGTTGGGGGTATGAAGTAAGGGAAGGTCCGCTTACTATGCATGCATATGCTGTTATGTAGGAAATGTTCACATATGATGCTTAAATAGCTTTTATACAGAAACATACCTCTCAAATTTTGGATGGAGTAGTTAGATGGCAACAACTGTTATTTTCAAGTGTTCAGTTTATGCAAATATTTGAATTTGCTAGTTTTGTTTTCCATTAGCTTCATCAGAGTATGAAAGAGAAATGTTGTAGATTCATGCTAATATAATTTTAAATGACTGTTACATTGATAATCCCTTTTCTTCCCAAGTAGCTTATAAATTTCCTGTTTTCTTTCTTCATTTTATAAATAGTAAAAAAAAAAAAAAAAAGCATTTAACATAAAGTTTCATGACATACTAAAGTAGAGAAAAATGTGACTGGGTAAGCAATGAAACTGAGAAGGAAATACTTGATATTGGGTATATGTACCTTGACAGAAGAAAACAAGAATACTTCCTCAGGCTTCAACAATAACTGCATTTCTCAACAGTTAGCTCTGTTGGGGCGCCTGGATGGCTCAGATGGTTAAGCGTCTGCCTTCAGCTCAGGTCATGATCCCAGCGTCCTGGGATCGAGCCCCGCATCGGGCTCCCTGCTCAGCGGGGAGCCTGCTTCTCCCTCTCCCTCTGCCTCTCTCCCTCCTCATGCTCTCTCTCTCTCTGTATCTCTGTGCCTCAAATGAATAAATAAAATCTTTAAAAAAAATAGCTCTGTTATGATTCAGAGATAATGTAACATTTTATGAATGATCAGCAGTTTGGGAAGCTATTTGTTATTATTTGCCTAGTAGATCTTTTATTTCCAAAGCATCATAGCACCAGAGAAGAAATATGGTATAAATAGGCTGTCACTGAGATACAAACAATTGATGATTATTCAAAAACTCTCTCCATATAGCCATGCCTCAGATTTGGAGTTTTTGTTTGTGTTTCAGTAGCTCTTTGCTTTTCAAGCTCACTCCTATAATTCTATTCATAGAGACTCCTGACTATCACTACTATGAAGAAGAATTGTGGAGAAGCCTTCCAGAGATTTGATGTCCTGGCTGATTCTTAAAAGGATGAGGAGACATCTCCTGGTTGAAATGGGTAGGTTTGGAAATGGAAAGCAAGGGCATGCCAGGCTACAAGGGCTTCATAAGCAAAGGAAGAAATAGCAAGGAGTTCATAGAACCATAGTTTGGGGTCATTAGAGTATCAAGTTCTGCAGGAAATGGTAGAAAATAGGCTGAGTAGTTAAGGAAGGGGCCTGGCTTTCACCTCATCGATGTGGATGAAAAATTAGTGAATGATTTTAACAGGCTAATTACACTGTTATTTGGAAAAGAAAAAGATATCACTGTGCTTCACTGTGAAGAAATGATTAGAAGAGAACAATACTTTAGGCAGGAAGTACAAGGAAGCTGGTATAGTCATTCATGGGCAAGATGATAGTAGCCTTAAAGGATAACTAAAGGTATTACTTTTCAATTGCATTAAGGATGAAACAAACTTTTCAATTCCAACTCTACACTGGTGTTGCATACATAGAGGCTGTCTACCCAATAAGCATCTTTCCCTTCTTCTTTGCTAACTGCTCTCTAGTATTGAGTAAATATACTTCAGGGCCCTACTACATTCCCAGAGCCATACTAATTTAGGACTGAGAATGAGATGCAATTCTGGCCAGTAAGATTTGAGAAAAAGAATCCTGAGGACTTTTCATTAGTCTTACAAAAGGAACCCATGAAAGGAAATTTATCTCTTCTGGCCTTTGCATGTTTTTGTGGAAGGATGTGATTAACGGGGCTGCTGTAGCCACCCTGAGACTGAGTGAAAAACTTTAAGACAAAAGACAACATTCTCCAAATGAAAGAGCAGAAATATGGCAAGAAGTTTGGTCTTTGATACCCTGGTATCAAGGGTGAGAGTCTGGGGTTTTCCAGGCACACTCCTTAGTAGTAAATTTAAAACAACAGTATGGGGCACCTGGGTGGCTCAGTCGTTAAGCGTCTGCCTTTCAGCTCAGGTCATGATCCCAGGGTCCTGGGATCGAGCCCCGCATCGCGCTCCCTGCTCAGCGGGAAGCCTGCTTCTCCCTCTCCCACTCCCCCTGCTTGTGTTCCCTCTCTCGCTGTGTCTCTGTCAAATACATAAAATCTTTAAAAATAAATAAATAAAACATAACAGTAGGAATTTAAAGTGCAGGAAGAGGAAAAAAACAAGTGGCCCAAATGGTCAGTTATTAAAATCAACCAAGAGCTCTAAAACAAAGGAAACTCAGTGCGGGGAGGTAACCTGGGTCTTTATCTAGTCCTGTGGCTGGCAATGTGTTTCTTTGAAATAGCCATCACTGAAGAGGATGTTTCTCTGCAGTGGATGCCTCCGCAGTCAAGGCTTAAGTCAGCACCTGCATTACAAAAAGAAGAAAGAGAAAAGGAAAAACAACCCAACTCTCAGGGTTTACACCATAGAAATAGAATCTCCTCTAAAACCTCTAGAAAGGAATAGTCCTGTTGACACCCTGATCTTAAGCCAATGAGACCTGTGGTTGACATCTGATGTGTTTTTTCCAGAAACTAAATTTGTAGTAATTTTTTAGAGCAGCAATGGAAAATTAATGCAATTTCTTTTACCCATTTTCTAATGGATTGTTTTTTAAATGTTGAGTTTTGGGAGTTCCTTATAAAGGTTAGGTACTAGTCCTTTGTTGGGTTTGTGGTTTGCAAATGTTTTACCCTAGTCTATAGCTTGTTTTTTTCATCCTTTTCAACCTGGAGAGCAAAAGTTTTTAACTTTGATAAAGTCTAGTCTATCCACTTTTCCTTTATGGATCATGATTTTGATGTCAAGTCTAAGAATTCTGCTTAACCCTCCATTCTGAATATTTTCCTCTATTTTTTCCAATTATTTAAAAATTGCGATAAAATATACATAAAATTTACCATTTCAGCCACTGTTTAAGTGTACAATTCAGTGGTATTTTTTATTTTTAAAGATTTTATTTACTTATTTGACAGAGAGAGCACAAGCAGGGGGAGTGGCAGGCAGAGGCAGAGGGAGAAGCAGGCTCCCCGCAGAGCAGGGGGAGCCCGATGCGGGGCTCGATCCCAGGACCTGAGCCAGAGGTAGTCGCTTAACCAACTGAGCCACCCAGGCCCCCGTTTAGTCTGACTGTTCTAAGAGTTCAGGAAACGTAGAGGTCAATGAGTAGTGGCAAAGTTGAGAAGTCTTAACAGATGATGTGTGACATGGGATAAGCTCTGAAAGACAAATAGTTTGGTCAGAAACTGAGGTGAGGGGGGATCAAACTGAATGGGTAATTAAATGTTGTAGTTCACAGAGGGGAGTAATCACTTTCAGCTGATAGTGTGGCACAGCTGACTAAGACATTTATCAGTAATGAAGTCTAATTCAGCTATAAAGCAGCTTGTGACTTTGGCAAATCATTAATCTCTTAAGAGACTCAATTTCTTCAAATGAAAAACATGGGGAGACGAATGCTAAAGTTCTGCCCAGGTCTAAAGTTGCTTTAGGATACTTACTAAGATTCTTTTACATCAGATAACTTTTTGAGTGATAAGTTATAATTAGCGAATGACTATATAGTTCACGGGAGTGAACTCAGGAACTATAAAATTACTCACTCCCATGAAAACAGTAATTATTTTAAGTTATAGGGAGCCCCATTACTTTATTTACATTAAATTTATATGCATGCTGCTTTTAAAAACCTGTCCATTTGTTTCATGTAAGTGTACTATGATTTTTTTCTTCTAATATAGTAAAAAACTAAAACATGAAACAAACTACACTGAAATCCTGACCTTGTTTCTTCCCTTTGCATATAGAGGATATCACTGAAAAAGGAAAATGGTCTCTTTCCTCTTGAATGTAAAGCCTAACTGCCATTTGTAAAGAACTGATTTAATTTGTTAAACAAACCTTTATTTAGTATCTGCTATGGGTCAGGCATTTGTGCCAAGAGTGATGATCATAGCAATGAAAAGTGTAGTTCCTACCTTCCATTAGTTCACAGCCTAGCAGGGAAAGGAAGGCAGGTCAGTTAACCAGGTATTTTACAGTGTGATACCATGGGAGTGCACAGATGGATCCTCTGTAATTAATGTCTGCTTTGGCCTGCCCAGCAACCACTCCCCTTTTTTCTAGAATGGTTCCTGATTTTTTCTCTGGGAATTACCCTTCCGGTCATTCTCTGTACTTGACTGGGGCTGTAGGCATATGAGTCAAATCTGGCCAGTTAGAACATCTATATATTTTGGGACACAGTGATTGGTTTAGGGATCCAAGCCAAGCCAATCTGCTGCAGTTCAAGGGATCTTGGGACACAGCATGGTATATTCAGGGAACAGCAGATATTTGGCTATGGTTGGCAACTTGGGTCTGAGTGGGTAAGGTTGGGAGATAAAGCTAAAATAATAGGCAAGAACAGTTTATGAAGGGCCTTGTATGTTATGCTGGAGAATTTGGACTTTTTCCTTGAAGAGATGGAAAGCCATTAAAGGATTTTAAGCAGGGAGTTCACATGATCACATTTATGCTTTGGGAAGACAAATCTGGTGGGGTTATGAATTATTAGGGGGAAGATGAAGCAGAAAGCAAGGGAATGAATTAAGATGCAAACCAGGGGTCACCAGAGACCTCAACTGTAGGAGTGGTAGTGGGGATAGGAAGGAGAGACACAGTGGGGATGTCTGCCATGAGTTCTCCAGAAAACTCATGCCACGAGTTTCCCAGAACTGGGTAACATGATAGCAACACTTTCCTGGAGAAATTGTGCTCTGTCTGCATCTCTAATTAAGCAAATGGTAGTAAATTTCAGAGAACAAAAGCAAAATTTAAGACTGTGCTTCTCAGTTTAACATGCACAAAAATCACCTGGAGATCTTGTTAAAATGCAACTTTTGATTCAGTAGTTCTGGGGTGGGACCTGAGATTCTGCATTTCTTTTTTTCCCCTCTTTTTAAATTAATTAACATATAATGTATTATTTGTTTTAGGGGTACAGGTCTGTGATTCATTAGTCGTATATAATACTCAGTGCTCATTACAACACATACCCTCCCCAATGTGAGATTCTGCATTTCTAACAAGCTTCCAGACGCTGCTGGTCTGCAGACTACATTTTAAGGAGCAAAGATTTAGGATTTTTTGAGGTGTGATGGGTCATTCAAGTAAAAAGGTCCAGCAGGCAACAGGCGTAGGCCCTAAATTTTAGGAGAGACTTGGGCTGGAGATATTTCAGTCATTGGCACATAGGAGGTGGTGATGTCAGAATATATAAAGATAATGGTCTAGGAATGTGCTTGGAAAAAAGTAAAGAAACCCAAGGATAGCCCATGGGTAGTCAGTGCCAGCATTTAAGGGGCATCTGAAGGATGAGGCTTTAAAACATGGAAGTAGCAGATGAAACTAGGATGCCAAGTTTACAGTGAGAAAGCTTTAATTCCCAAACTTATTATATAAATAATAGCTGCCATTTATTGAGTGTTCTATTCCAGGCAGCGTACTAGGCTTCAACTTTTCTCCAAAACACAGGGTGTAAGAAATGTCTGTTAAAAAATTCCTCTAACCATACCCAATTACTTTGAGCTGGTGGAAAGTTGTTTTTTTTTTTGTTTTGTTTTTGTTTTAAGATTTATTTATTTATTTATTTGAGAGAGCGAGCGTCAGAGGGAGAAGCAGACTCCCCGCTGAGCAGGGAGCCCGATGCGGGACTCGATCCCGGGACTCCAGGATCATGACCTGAGCCGAAAGCAGTAGCTTAACCAACTGAGCCACCCAGGCGCCCTGAGCTGGTGGAAAGTTTAATGTGGGTCACTATTAAGGATCTACACACCATACCTAGGATTGTATGAAGGTTCTAGGGGTCTTACTCAATCCAGTTCTTTTGGGAAAGGCCTCGTCTTCACTCAGTGCTGGTTACTAATACGCTCACTTCCCCAGCTCATTTATCCTTTGATGGTGACCTGCTTTGCTGATTCAATGCCAAGCTTGGACATGGGGTCTTGGCCGTGATTAGAATCTCTGATGCCTAGTGTGCAGCCTCCCTAATGGATACTACAAGGTCTTGCCACTTCCCTTTCCCATTAGGTTCCTGATATTCACAGAACTTTCAACCCTCCTTTTCTGTTACTCCCTTTGGTTGCCACTTAACCAACCTGTAAAGTCTTCAACCTCTCTCCATTGTTCGGAGAGAGAATCACCTCAGTGGGTACAGATGTTTTGACACAAAGGGGCCATTTATTCTGCCCTGGGGCAAGGAAAGTCCCAGATCTTTGGGGTGCTATCCAGTCACCCTCTGGCATTCTACTCCTCTCTACCCCCCACCCCCCGCATTCTTTTGCAGCCCTGAGAACAAAACAGTATCTTAATATCTCAACAAATCATCTTGACACACATGCACTGACCCATGAGATCCCTACAACCACTCCATGGGTAATCATTTTACATCCTGAAGCGTGGATGAATTTAGAAACTTGTTTCAAGTCACACAGCTATTAAGTAACTGTGTAGGAGCTATGAGCTATGTGCTTGGGACTCCGGAGCAACGAGGGCGTGGTATTATCGCAGTTCCTATCAAAATACCTTACTCAAGGTCATGTGTGAGTTGCCGTAATCAGACTCAAATTCAGAAACTTCACAAACAGAAGGGGAAAGTCTCTGTGTGGGTGCTCGGATAAAGGGCTGGGATTCCTTTAATCTTCGCCACAGTCTTACTATCCCGATTTTCAGATGAGAAACAGAGGCTGAAGGTGTGACTAACCTCTATGGCCACAAAGCCAGGGCCACGTTTATTGGCTCCTAATATATGTTCTTCCCATCATACCAAACAGAAATGGCCTGTGAGTGGCTCAAAGTCTCGTCCCCAGGAAAACTCAAAGGCAAAAACACTTTAATTAAGCGTCCCTCCTTGGAAAAAAATTGGCGCATGCGCGGTATGCACCAGAGACCCCACCCCAGCGGCTTGTGATCCACTCAGTACGCATGCGCCAGGCTGTTCTTCTCACCCGCCCCTTCGCTCCGTGCTGTTCCCTCCACTCCCCGCCCCTTTCCCGCCCGGATATCAGCCTAGTTTTGGCGGATGTTGTTGTGAATCCCAGAGACACGTGAGGCGCTGCTACGTCATCACAGGCACGCGAAGGAAACATGGCGGCGGAGAGTGTTGTGAGCGGGAAGGTAAGTAACGGCCCCGGCGAACGTCCCTACTTTTCTCTGGGATGGTGTGCTTTTGTTGCTTGGAGGCCGGTTGGGGAGGGACGTGAAGGCCATTCTGTATCAGGAACAGCTTGTGGCGGATGTAAGAGAAGAGGACTTGGTCGTGTCAGCTGTTTTCTCGAGATAGCCGGCTCAGTCCGGGAATTAGAGACCGGCTCCTGCTCCAAGGCCAGCTAGGCCTCGGGCGCAGTTCTGCTCTGCACTGCCCCGCAGCAGGGGGCTTTAATTTGTATTGCCTTTTCTAAGAGACAGGTAGTTTCCTAGTTCCTTTCTTTTGTGGTTCACTTTTTCCTTACTCTAGTTCTTTAGATGTACTCTTCTGACTCCAGCGTCTTTTTTTCTTTTCCTTTGAGGCGTTAATCTAACTTTCCCGTCTTTCTCTGCTTCACTCTGGTGAAGGCATCTTTGCCCCCATCGGGAGGAGCTGAAAACAGGTGTTGTGCAGCTGTGCACGTAGAAGAAAAGAGTGTATTGGATTCATTTTACCAGACTGCCGAGTTGGCTGGTGCTTATGAGCAGCAGGGCATGTTTCCAGTCAGGGAGCAGGAGATTTAGACCATCTCACGCTTGTCTAGGAAGGCGTTAGTTACGGTATTTCATAGAGGTCTCTATGATGTTCTCGTGGGGAGTATCTGTGATCCTGTCTTAACTCCCTCCTAGTTCGTTAGGAACTAGGATTAGTGCGGAGGAGATATCGTTGTATATTGCCTATATACGTTCCGAGGGCACATCTTAATGCCTGTTATTTAGGACTGTCATGACATGCCATAGGCAGTATTTCCTATTGCGGGAGTATTTCGTAAACAGTTGGGTCTGGGGATGACTCATGGAAAACTAATGACTACGTATTTACTCGTCACCAGTAGCTTCCTCTGGTGATCGAATTTGAGTCATTTTCTCTGTGCTGCTCTCCTTATCCCATTTTGAATTATTTGACAATGTTTGTGGTTTGGTGTATGGACCACTAGACTTGGCCGCAGAATAACACATATGGTCTTGGTTTTGCTGTTACTTTGAAGTGTGACCTTGGGAAGCTGAGCAAGTATGACTTTTCTGTCCTTCGTAAATTTTTTCTCCAGAATAGTGGTGGTGCCAGTTGTTATTTGTATTGGAGTTGTTGGGATTACATGAAATAATAAAAACATTAAGATTTCATACTTCTACATATTGGCTATTTTAAATGATAGATTGGTCATAGTTTTTTTGATTATTCATGCTCTTTGATTGTCTTGTTAGTTTTTAAGTCTTCATAGCAGATGCTGATTTTCTATTTGATTCATTACATACTTGAAAGTTATCCTGCTTGATTTTCTGTCTGGACCAATTCAATTTAGGTCTTTCCAAGAAGGGATCCTTTCCATTTGAACTATGCTTCCCTCTTTCAGGCATGGATTGTTTATGAGAGAATCCTTGAGATGGTGAAGCCCAGTTGTGAAATATAAGACTTTTTTCACCCTTTCCTTCCAGTCACTCTCTTTCATATCTGACTTTTTTTTAAAGATTTTATTTATTTATTTGAGAGAGAGAGAATGAGAGAGAGAGCGCGAGAGAGGGGAGGGTCAGAGGGAGAAGCAGTCCCGAATGCAGGACTCAATCCCAGGACTCCAGGACCATGACCTGAGCCAAAGGCAGTCGCTCAACCAACTGAGCCACCCAGGCGCCCCATAATCTGACTTTTTTATAAAGATTTTATTTATTTATTTATTTTAGAGAGAGATAGCGTGAACGGGGCAGGGGCAGAGGGAGAGAGAGAATCTCAAGCAGACTCCCTGCTGAGCATGGAGTCCCCACGTAGGGCTCAGTGCCATGACTCAAAGATCAGGACCTGAGCTGGAATCAAGTGTTGGGCGTTCAGCCGACTGAGCCACCCAGGTGCCCCCATAATCTGATTTCTTAATTAGTCTTTTATTTCATAACTGTGCTTCATCATCTCATTTATTCTCACTCATTGTAATTTGACACCCATTACCATCATACCACCTAAATTATGTTTCTATGCCAAAACCTGCTCCTCTCCCAAATAATACTATCATGACGCGCAAACCCAACTTATTCTTTCCTCAGTAAGTTCAGATCTAGTTTAATGGTATCATTCAGTGGTTGCATGTAAAACAAACTTGGAGACGTCCATTTCAATAAAAATTTATCAAGAACCAAGTCCTACCAGTTTACCTTAAAGAAGTTCTTAAATTTCTGCATACTCTTCATTCTCTGTTTTTAGTCCATTTAGTCTGCCTCTAGTCTTGAGTTCTTAGCTGATTTTTCTCCTTGTTGCAGTTTCTTTGCCCACAGTCCCCTCTCTACACCACCACTGGAGGGTTGGTTGGTTTGTTTGTTTTGTAATGTACAAATCTGATTGTTTCTTGCTTTAAAAAAACAAACAAAATCTGGGGCACCTGAGTAGCTTGGTTGATTAAGCATCTGATTCTTAATTTTGGCTCCGGTGGCGATCTCAGGGTCATGACATGGAGCCCTGCATCTGCTCTGCACTCAGCATGGAGTCTGCTTGAGATTCTTTTTTTCCCTCTGCCTAACTTCACACTTATTGTGACGTCAGTCAAATTACTTACCCTTTCTGTGCTTCAGTCTCCTCGTTTGTAATATGGGGATGATATAGTACCTACTTTATGGGATTGTGGAGAGGATCAATAAGTAAATATATTAGAAGAAATCCTAGCACGTGGTAGATGCTGTGTAGGTGTTAATTCGTAATCTCAATTTCTCTGCAAGTCATTGGGTATAGCAGAATTTTAAAGATTTACAATATGGTTTTGGTATGGGTATAAACTTCCATTTTTGAAGTTAGCTCTACCTCTGATTCTCATTTTTACTTTAGGAATTGAAAAATGCCTTGTTTCGGAAATCATGTAATTTTGATGAATGAAAAATCATCCTAATTGGGCAGTGGGTAAGGAGATGGAGTTTGATTGTCTGGGTTCAGACCTCTGGTTCCACTGCTTTATGGCTGTATACTTTGGGCAAATTTCTTAACTTCCTTGAGCCCAGTGTTCTCATTTGTAAATGAGGAATAATTATATTTCCATCATGGAATTGTAAAGAGGATTAAATGAGTTAATATTTGCAAAGCATTCAGAACAGTGCCTGGTGTCAAGTAAGTGCTCAATAAATGTTAGCTGCTACTATTGTTAAGGAAAATCTTTCAGATTTCTTAAACATTATAAAATTATTATTGGTTAGGAAATAGTTGAATATTTATTTTTGCTGCCGTTTTCCACAAAGATTTAAGCTGCTCACAAATATAAAAGCAATATAGTTATGTAAAATACATTAGAAAAAAAAGTAAAAGGAAAGTAAGGGTAAAAAAGGTAAATGGTACTGGAAGTATATTTATTAAATAAACTGTATGCTTTAGTGGGGCACAGTTTAGCTCTTAAGTTTTTTAGCAGCCAAAGTAAAGAGGGGAACCTGATCCATTATAAGGATGATAGGATCCACACTCAAATAAAACCAAAAGTAAAACCCCAAAAATCTAGTTTCTGAAGGGTAGACCAGAGAATAAAGTTTCCTGTAGGTTTTTGTACTATGTAATATAACGTATGTACTTATATGGTATATTGCATCTTTTTTTTTTTTTTAGAGATTATTTGAGGGAGGAGGATAGTGGGAGAGCCTGCGGGGGGAGGGGCAGAGGGAGAGAGAAACTCACGCAGACTCTACAATGAATGTGGAGCCTGATGTGGGGCTCCATCCTATGACCCCTGAGATCATGACCTGAGCTGAAACCAAAAGTCGGACACTCAACCGACTGCACCATCAGGTGCCTCTGTATCTTTTTGGTAAGAAAAAAGGACCCTGTAATGCCTCTAGGATGCTGATAGTTTTATGCCAGTGGGTAGTTCAGTTGTTACTAAATACAGGGTACCAATTTGACATCTTCAGGTCTCTGATGATTTGACTAAATCAAGGGTAGGTTTTTGTCAGCATGTGGATGAATTCAATTTTACATGAATATTGTTTTTAGCTGAGCTTTTGAAAATAGGTTTGAGTTTGATTAGAAACCCTGATTAGTTTTTAGAGTTCAGCTTTTTTTTTTTTTAACTGTCTGTAGAACAATATGTTTTAACAGTCAACCAACCAGAGAAAGTGACATTCTCTTGTGAATATTGAGGGGAGAAACAGGGACACTGCTTGTAAAGACCATCCTGTGTCTTCTATAACTGGTGGACAGAATTGAATTAATAGAATGAGTTGAATTTACCTATCACAGAAAAGGCAGGAGAAAGGAGATAGCCTGAAATAGGTTTTGGCCTTAGACCCACTGCTCTGATTGTTAGTTTACTTTCATTCATTTATTCAACAAATATTTATTAAGCATCTGATTTGTTCCAAGCACTATATTAGGCATTGGGTGTATATCAGATAGCCCCTTACCTTCTTTCTTAAAGACTTAAGTTCTTTAGAGGGAAAATACTCCGTAACACCCACCTCTTTGTCTTGTCTAAATAAGAAATGCAAAATGAATTTCACGTCCTTGAAGTAGGTGCTATTTTTAGTGAATGTTTGTATTCTGAAGACCAGTAAACTGACTCATTATGAGGGCAGGGCCTGAAGTGTTTCACCTGCATCTAGCCAAGATTCTGGCACATAGTAGGTATTCAGTGATTAGGAATGAGCAAGAAGATAGAGAAAATGAGTGGGGAGAGATGGAATCACTAAGAGTCCTCTTATCTTGGAGTTAAAAAGTTCTATTTTAGTATAGTTGGGTTTCACTCTATTTTTACTGTGACTGTTTTAGAATTTAGTTCTATCGGAAAAAAACATGAAACAATTGGGAAATCAGCTGTTATTTTTTAAGAGTTTGCTTTGATGGCACTCTTAGTAGGAATTCATGTAACTTGAATTTGGCTCCTTATAACTTGTAACTTGAATTTGGCCCCTTCTAATTCCCTTTAGATATGCTTATAGTCCTGTAAAACCCTTGTGCTTAAGAAATGGAAAGA